CCGACGCCAGCACCAAGACCGGCGGCTACACCGTCACCAACGCCAGCGCCCACACCAGCACCGGCGCCAGCACCGACGCCTGCACCTCCGCTTGCGCCAACGCCAGCGCCGACCTCAGCATCGATGCCAGCATCAACTCCTGAGCCGCCTACACGGGGCCACCAGCGCCAGCACCCGCATAAGCGCTGACGCCAGCACCGACGCCAGCACCAACGTCGGCACTTACGCCAGTACGATTGCCAGCGCTTACGCCAACACCGACGCCAACTTCGACGCCAGCCCAAACGCTGGCGCCTACGCCAGCGCCGACGTCAGCACTAACGCCACCCTCAACGCCTGCGATCGCGCAGGCAACAGCGCTAGCCCCTGCACCAGCGACGTCGCCAGCACCTACCCCAGCACCAATGCCAACGTATGCCACCACCTGCGCCAGCGCCTAGACCGACACCGACGCCAGCACCGAGTTCAGCACCAACGTCAACCAGCACAGACAGTCAGCCACGCCACGGCCGCCTCAGCAGCGCGAGGACGGCCAGGACACTCAATCGTGCCCAGCTCTGAGGCTCTGGAGTGCTCTGGATGGGGGGGGGGGATTGGTGACGTGTCGTCTTTCTGTTTCCTACAGGCTTCCTTGTCCTCAGGACCATACGTCGCCTCGGTATCCAGCATTATGGAGTCAGTGATTGAGTGACAAGGCTAGCTCCTTTCGTTTTCCTTTAGCTTCTCCCCCTGCTCCTTCTTCTGTCTTTCGCGCTGTCCTCCGCCCCCGCTTGTTTGCTGCTTTGCATTGCATGCCCGTCCTAATTTCAGTTAGTTTTTTTCTTCACCCGCACCGCCCCCTCGTCTTGGAGGGGGGGCGGCGTCCTCCGCCCTGGGGGCGTCAGGGGCGGTTTGCTCTCAGAGCTTCCCGTCCCCCTGCACCCCCCATGTGCGGATCCACAGTCCCTTTAGTCTTACCCTGCGCGCTCTCGTTTCCCTTCTCTCTCTTCCTCCCCTTTCTTTCCCCGCTCGTGTGGGTCCTATGTGCGCGCACCCCGGGCGAAGTCCCAGTTGGTCTTCGCATTCGCGAAGTTAGCTCCCTCGCTCCTCCTCTCCCTCCTTGCGCGCCCGCGGGTTTCCCATTTTCGGTCTCACGGCCCAGCTCCAGCCGAGCTTCGTCCAACGTGCTGCAACCATCTTGCTGCGGTCACGTCGCCCCTCTTGTTCCCCCTCCTTTCCGTCCTCCTTCCCCCTCTCCCCGCGCGGCCTCTCTCACAGAATTTCGGCCACGTTCGCAGGACAACCCTGCGCGTCCTGTGCCGATGCCGGTTGTTTCTCGCTGCTTGGTTCTGTGAACCGTGCGTGGGGGTCAGAAAACATGTATTATTGTCTACGCCATACGAAATACAAGCCACAAGCAAGGTCTGGCGCCGATCGAGGTCGAGGTCTTCACATCCTCCCCTCACCTCCTGATCTTTCTTACTCTCGCCGAGCGGTGGCGTTTGAACGAGGTCCTTGCTGGCCGCGAGTCCCGCTAATGGCTAATGAGGCTGCAGATGCCTGCCTCGGGTTCTTGCTGAGGCAGGCTGCTGCAGCCTCGTTTTGTGGCGTTCGGGATCTGCTGGTCGAGCGGCTCCGCTTAGCGGAGGTCTGCTCCCACTCTCTCTGCGGCTGCTGCCTCCCCGTCTTTTAAGCCGATTTGTTCGAATCGGATATTGTCTCTGAGCTGCTCCCCGTTCCTCGCCTTCCTGCCTCCTGCCTCGTCCTGCGGCCAGCGTCTCTGCCACCATGACCCCGGGCGACCCGCCCGCGGCCGCGCCCGCCCCGGCCCTGTGGGCCCCAGCCGCCGAGCTGGCGCGGCCGCGCGAGCGGGATGCCGCGCCAGACCCGCGCTCCCAGGCAGCGCGCATCGTTTCACCATGAAACAAACGTCGAAGAAAGACACAGCTTCCTGGGGGGGTCCAGGGCCGATCCAAGGAATCCGCGCGGAGCTCAAAAAGTTTATTTGTAAACAGCTCCTTCTTCAGCTGAGGTTTGTCGCCATTTTCGGCTTGTCGGGGCCCTCTACTACGGGCCCTGGGAGGTCAGAAAGCGACTCTCAGGACGAAGAGGGGCCGCAGGCTCCGGAGCCCGTTTCCCTCGGGACCCGCTTGCTTCGCGCCAGTCGTCTTGCGATCATCCCCGCCTCCTCCCGGTTCTCCGAGCGGCGCGACAGCTGTCCACCCGCTCCGATCCTGGCGCGGGCCGTGAGTTCCGCCGCCGTCTCCTGCCTCGCGTGTCCCCTCCTGTCGTGTCCTCCCCCTCGTACTTCTGCTCCTCTTCGTTCTCCTTCTCCTCCTCCTCCTCCTGCTCCTCCTGCTCCTCCTCCTCCTCTTCCTCCTCCTCATCTGCCTCCTTCTCCTCCTCCTCCTCCTCCTCCTCCTCCTCCTCCTCCTCCTCCTCCTCCCTCCCCTCCTCCTCCTTCTCCGCCTCATCTCCCTCCTCCTGCGCCTCCACCTCCCTCCTCCTCCTCCTTCTCCTCCTCCTCCTCCTCCCTCCTCCTCGTCTCTCCTCCTCCTCCTTCTCCTCGTCCTCCTCCTCCCTCCTCTCCTCCTCCTCCTCCTTCTCCTCCTCCTCCTCCTCCTCCCTCTCCTCCTCCTCATTTCTCATTTCTCATTTCTCGCTATGCAGCGTCTTGTCGCGCGCCCCGCGGGCGCGGAGCGCGCCGCAGCGGCCCTCCAGGGCCGTGCGGGCACTCGGACAGCGGCCCCGGGAACCCGACCCCGAGGAAAGCAGAGGGAACCAGGGACCAAGTTAAACCTCAGCGGAGGGAGAAGGGGGGCCGGGTTTCAGCAAAAAGAAAAAAGGGGGCCCGTCAGGGCCCACGGGCGGGCGCCGCGCGCGCCCGCGCCCGCGGGCGTCAGGCAGCGCGGCGCACGGCCAGGCCGTCGGCCTCTTTGTGGGCTGGCGGCCGCGTGGTGGCGGCTGGGCTCCCTTCGGCGCCTCGCGCTGAGCCCAGCCGCCGTGGGGTCTTCGGGTGGCTGGCTGCCCCCAGCTGCGGCGGCCTCCACCCTTCGGCGCAGCGCGCTGTGGAGGCTCGCCGAGCCGCTCGTGGGCTCCAGCAGGTCTGCAGCGGCTGCTCTCGTCATCATGCCGATCGGGCCGGCTGGCCTCGGCCCCTCGCATGCCACGCGAGGGCGACGGGGATACACCCTTCGGCGCCTGGCGCTGTGTATCCCTCGCCGAGGGGCAGGCCGCCCCTTCTCGTCGAGTACTCCATGTTGTGAACCTGCAGTGCTGCCTGACACTGTGGTGCTCGAACTTGTATCCCTCGTCCTAGCCGTGCTGGACGGGTTGGTACTCCTGCTTGATCCTGTCCAGTCGTGCTGGTCGTACTGGTACTCACTAGCCGTAGTATCCGATGTCGTCAGTCATACCGCCCCCGCCTCTGCAGTACAGGAGGGTGCTGATCTCGGAGGTTGTAGATGGCGGTCGTTTGTAGGGCTGAGTGCAGGGTGTGGAGCGTGCTGGTCAGGTCGTTGGGGGTCGGATCGTTGCTGGTGTTGCGTTGGTTGTGGGCTTCCAAGGCCTCCATGCACCGACTTCAAGTGGGAGTCTTGGCTGTCCCACCTCGTCCCGCTATGGCTAGGGGTCATCTCCTCCTCCTACTCCTCATCCTCGTCTTTTTTCCTGGTCCTCGTCGCCACCCCTCCCTGCTACTATCTCGTTCTCCTTCCCCTGCCCCTCGTCGCCGTCCTCCTCCTGCTGCTCCTTCTCCTCCTCCTGCTCCTCCTCCTCATACTCATCCTCATTTATTTCCTCCTCCTCCTCCTCCTGTCCCTCCTCCTGGCTGGCAGTACAGTCAAGACATTGAACTGATAAGGAGCACTTCGAGCTCAAGAGGGGCTCTGGTTTTAAGGCCGTTCCTCAGATCTAGGTCGGGGGACCTATTTTCAGCCGAGGCTCGCCGTGGGCAGGAAAGCCCCTTCGCTCCTTGTTGTGCATATAGTAACACGATGGCCGTAAAGCGGCGCAGGTCCTGGCGCTCGGCGTGGAGAGTCGCGGACCGCGACAGCGCCAGGTGGACCTGAAGTCGTTGTGGTGGCAGCCCAGCCCCAACCCGCGACAGCAAGGCTGATAGCAAGGAGGCCAGCCCAACAGGTGGAACAACTATTGGTAAGGCTTGGGGTGCGCACCGTCCGAGTATAGCCGAAGCGGTCTCAACGGCTTAACCCCGGGGTGCAGAGCGCCCCTGGGGCGCCGCTGGAGGCGGCGTCGCTGGAGGCGGCTCCAGAGTTTTGAGACCAACCCAGGTCACCGGGGGCTGCTAAAGGTATACCTTTGCCAGGGTGTCCCCAGCTTCACGCTCCATTTTGTAGCCCCTGGGGCCCTCTGGGCCGCCTGAGGGGTACTCTGGAGGCCGTGGATGCCTCATTGCACATTGTCTTGCACATTGCGGGGGCAGCTTGGGCCAGGGACACCTCTGGACCCTTGCGGCCTGTTGAGGGCAGCAAGGAATTCCTCGCAGGTACTGTCAGTGCGCGACCCCAAGCCTTCCCCACCAGCGATCTCCCCTATCCTCCGACGTTCAATTTCAGTGACGTCGTCCCTCCTGGAGTACCCCCTCCCCTGGACCAGCCTCACGTCACGAGACGTGTTTGACGGTCCTGGGGCCAGGGAGCTTCCCATCCCACAGGCGAGCAGTACAGAAGGCCGTCATTCTTTCTTGTGTCGCCTGAATATGAACGCCAACAGCTCTTCGCTAGGTCTGGCTGGATCTTGTGCCAAAGAATTCAAGATAGGCGGCGAGCGAGGGGGGGAAGTGAGAAGGAGAAGGCCTTCTCAGAAGGCGGCGGGACTTATCAGAAGCGCCCCGGCCTTCTGAGAGTTGTCTGCGCCCCCGGGGAAGGCTCAGAAAACTTGTCAGAGGGCTGGGGGACTTCCGACTCTTCTGAGAAGGCCCTGCCCCTCCTGACTTCCCCCGAGCTCGCCGCCGATATGACCTGCACCCGCCGCCCGCGCCCTGCCGCGCCCCCTCGGAGGACTGCGCGCGCTTCGCGACCGAGGCTGCCTGCCTGGGGGGAGGGGCCGCCGCAGCCGGTCGTCGCTTGGACGTTTCTGCGCCTTGCTGGGCCTTCGGAGTTCTCTGGCACCTCGGAGGCCTCTGGATCGTCATCGCCGCCGCCGCTGCCGTCGCCAGGTGGAGACTGTGGACGTTTCTGGCCCCTCGTGGACCGTCCCAGGCCTCCTCGCGTTTCAGGGGCAGCGTTAGAGGGGGAATGGGCTCAGGGGAAAACGCATCGACCCCCAATCGCCCACTGATCCCCGATAGGGGCCCGATAGCCCTCCCCGCCCAGAAGCGTTCGGTTTCGCTGTCGGGGGTCTGTCGCAGAATTATCGGCGATTTATCCTCGATTCCAGGTTGACGTTTCCCCCCTGAGCCAGTCCCCCTCCATCGTTCTCCCTCGTTCTTGGGCCTTCAGACCTCCTCGCGTTATGCAACATCGCGGCTGGCTTGCTATAACCAAATGGATGTTAGCCATCGTGGGCCCAAAACATTGCATGTGTAGCAATACAGGTGGAGCAGGTGCTATATATATACATATGGTGAAATTTTCGCGCGGTGCAATCTACGTGGTGCAACTGATTTGTACCCATGATTTGACACATCCCACGTTCTTGCAAACATCCCACCCACCCACCCGCAACTTGGTTTGCAAAACCTTTTAAGACCGATTACGACGACACCGACGACAACGACTACGACGACACCGACGACGTCTCCGACGACTTCGACGACAACAACAACGACGACGACGACAACGACGACGACGAAGACGACGACGACGACCTCGCCAACGACAACGACGACGAGGGAGGAGGGAGGACGACGACGGCGACAACGACGACAACGACGAGGGAGGACGGAGGACGGCGACGACGCGAACGACGAAGAAGGAGGAAGGACGGCCACGCCGACGACGACAACGACGAGGCAGGAGGGTAGACGACGACGACGACGACGACAACGACGACGACGACGACGACGACGACGGCGACGAAATAGGAGGGACGACGACGAGACGCCGACGACGGACGACGACGACGATGGAGGAGGAGGAAGGACGACCACAGCGACAACGACGACGGAAACGACCACGACGCCAAAGAGGACGACGACGACGAACACGAGGAAAGACAGAGGACGACGTAGGCGACGACGACGACGACGCGGGAGGAGGGAGGACGGCGACGACGACGACGACGCAAGAGCGCGCGCACGCTTTTGTTGAAAATCCGTGTTGCGAAACCTTGTGTTTTTTGCAGGTTGTTTGGGCACACGATGTTGAAATCCTTACGAAACCTATCGGTTTTGAGGGATTTCGGCATACGCGCGCGACGACGCGCGCGTGTGCACTTCGTCTTGTTTTTTGCAGAGGATTCTCGCGACGGCACACGCGCAAGGGCGTTCGACAGATTTCGACATGCGCGCGCGAAGCCCGTTTGGTAGCATTATGTGAACATCTTGAAAAACCTGTGGTTTTCATGAGAGTTCGCAAGAGCTCGCGCGTAAGTTTTTTTAGCAAACCAGTGTTGCGAAACCCTGTGTTTTTGTATGTTTTTTGGGAACTCGATTGCTAAATCCTTCCGACACCGAACGTTTTTGAAGGATTTCGGCATGCGCGCGCGACGACGCGCGCGTCTGCACTTCGTCTCATTTGTTGCAAGAGACTCGCGAAAAAGTGTTGTGTTAGAGCAAAAAGATGTCCCCGAGTAGTGTTTTTATAAAGGAACCGCAGGGGGGGCGATACCAGCCCCCCTGGGATACAATTGATATTTCGGATGGACATGTGGTCAGAATCATGTACGATTTACGTACCCGAAAGGGAGGCGGCGAACGCCAGTGGGGGTAGAGTCTATTTTCTTTTTAGAAAGGAGAATTAATTTCTGTTAGCAATGAACTGTCCACTCCACTGCTCGCGCAAACATCCCACCCACCCACCCGCAACTTGTTTTGCAAAATCTCTTAAGACTGCGACGGTGGGTACCAAATGGCACTTGGCAACGACAGCGACGCCGACGACGACAGCGACAGCGACGACGACGACGCCGCCGACAACGACTACGACGACACTGACGACGTCTCCAACGACTTCGACGACGCCGAGAACGACGACGACGACGACACCGGCGACGACGATGACGCCGACGCCGACGACGACGACGATGACAACGACGACGACGATGACGACGCCGACGACGACGACAACGACGACACCGACGACGACGACGACGTCAACGACGCCGACGACGACGGTGACGACGGCGGCGACGACGACGACGCCGACGTCGACGACGACGAAGACGACGGCGACGACGAACGACGACGACGAAGACGACGACGACGTCGCCAACGAAGACGACGACGAGGGAGGAGGAGGACGGAGGACGACAACGACCGACAACGACGAGGGAGGAGGGAGGACGGCGACGACGCGAACGACGAAGAAGGAGGAAGGACGGCGACGCCGACGACGACAACGACCAGGGAGGAGGGAAGACGACGACGACGACAACGACGACGACGACGACGACGGCGACGAAATAGGAGAGACGACGACGAGACGCCGACGACGGACGACGACGACGACGAGGGAGGAGGAGGAAGGACGACCACGGAGACAACGACGACGGAAACGACCACGACGCCAAAGAGGACGACGACGACGAACACGAGGAAAGACAGAGGACGACGTAGGCGACGACGACGACGACGCGGGAGGAGGGAGGACGGCGACGACGACGACGACGCAAGAGCGCTCGCGCACGCTTTTGTTGAAAATCCGTGTTGCGAAACCTTGTGTTTTTGTAGGTTGTTTGGACACACGATGTTGAAATCCTTCCGAAGCCGATGGGTTTTGAATGATTTCGGCATACGCGCGCGACGACGCGCGCGTGTGCACTTCGTCTTGTTTTTGCAGAGGATTCTCGCGACGGCACACGCGCAAGGGCGTTCGACAGATTTCGACATGCGCGCGCGAAGCCCGTTTGGTAGCATCTTATGAAATATTGAAAAACCGATGGTTTTCTTGAGATTTCGCAAGAGCTCGCGCGTAAGCTTTTTAAACAAATCAGTATTGCGAAACCCTGTGTTTTTGTATGTTTTGTTGGAAACTCGATTGCGAAATCCTTCGGACACCGAAGGTTTGTGAAGGATTTCGGCATGCGCGCGCGACGACGCGCGCGTCTGCACTTCGTCTCATTTGTTGCAAGGGACTCAGGGAAAAGTGTTATTCATTGGTCCGAAAGATACCCGTACCCCGTGCCAGCCAAGGTGAGATGGGCCGTCCGGGGGACTGGGCGCTTGCTATTGTGCCCGGTCAGCTTGCCCCGCGCGCGCCAGTGCAGCATCCGCGCGTCAAGACGCAACGGCGCGCTCGATGGTTGGGTGTCTGATTGCAGCGACAAGCTCTGGTTTTTGTTAGGGACGTCTCGGGGCATCGTGGTGCGTGCGCGGTTCAAAGCCGCCCATATGTGGCGGCGCCTGTCCCAATCGATAAAGAGTTGAATTTCCTCGCTATCCTGGCAACCAATGCGTCTGGGCCTGCCCTGAGGAACGACGTTGCAACGTCACGCCCCCGGGGGGCCGCAGCGGCCACGTCGGGGACGGCTCTGGAGGGCATGATATGTGCTCGAGAGCGTTTTGGGCCTGCCGCCACCTCGGCTAGGTGCGGGGACCTGCCTGAAACCACCGAAACATACCCGGACCTAGCTGGGGTGAGCTGCGGCACCCCGGCTAGGTACGGGTATGTTTTGGGGGTTTTCATGGGGAACCGTACCTAGCTGGGGTGATCCGCAGACGGCCGTCCAAGGGGGGCGGCCTCTGGCGACCTCGCCCAGGGCACAGATTCGCGATGTCTCTGCGTCGAGCAATTCGCGATAAGGCGGTTGTCGCGCAATGACGTTCGCGCCAGAGTTGTTCGCATGCGCCCCCGAGTGCGCGTTGACTCCTCAACGCCTGGATGTGTGTCTGGGGGCGCACCTCCGCAGTAGCTGGTCTACATCGACAACAACAAACGCAGGGTCGGGCACTCCGCCGATTCGAACGCACGTGCGATCGGTGCTAACGTGCGCCCCGAGAAGACAGCGGTCTGTAATACTCGACTGGCTGTCGTTTCTACACTTGTGCAGCCGCCGTCAGCTGCGACGAACCGCCCCCCCGGCCCCTTGCCACCCTGTCTAGGTAAGGGCACGGGTATCTTTCGCGCTCGAGAGTTATGTTAGAACAAAAGATGTCCCCGCGTAGTGTTTTCACAAGGGAGCCTCAGGGGAACCGGTACCGGCCCCCCTTGGATATTGTAAGTTCATACATAGGATCGACATGTGGTCAGAATTCATATGTGCAGACCCGAAAGGCGGGCGGATGACGCCGGGGGGGGGTAGAGTCCATGTGGTCCATGTGGTGCGATCCACGTGGTGCCATCTATGCAATGCAAGTTGTGCAAAATATCAGGTGCAGTGTATATGCAACAATTATAGATGGTACAAGCTATGTATTGCAACGTTTGTGGTGTAGGGTATATGTTGCAATCTGTGTGGTGCGATCTGCGCTGTGCAATCTAGGTGGTGCAAACTATGTGGTGTGATTGATGTTTACCCATGATTCGACGCATCCCACGCTCTTGCAAGCGCCCCACCCACCCGCCCGCAACTTGGTTTGCAAAACTTCGACACGGCGACGACGACGACGACGCGGGAGGAGGGAGGACGGCGACGACGACGACGACGACGACGATGACGCCGCAAGAGCGCACGCGCACGCTTCTGTTGAAAGTCCGTGTTGCGAAACCTGGTGTTTTTTGTAGGTTTTTGGGCACACGCTGTTGAAATCCTTCGAAACCAATGGGTTTTGAGGGTTTTCGGCATACGCGCGCGACGACGCGCGCGTCTGCACTTCGTGTTTTTTTTTTGGGGGGGGGCAGAGGATTCTCGCGACGGCGCGCGCGCGAGGGCGTTCGACATGCGCGCCCGACGCCCGTTTAATAGCATGTTGTGAAAATCTTGA